TCCAAATCATTTATTCAATGAAAAACATTGACAACCGATTGGACACAATTCACACCAGATTTCACTACTCATGCTATAAGTTGTGAAACAATTTCATTGATTTTTACCATCATTTTTGATGAATTCAATATTTTATCGATTCATATAATAATCCATTTAAATCCATATTTATTTATAACTATATATTTGTAAAAATCTAATAAAGCTTTTATTAACAATAAAAAATAATTCTAAAAGTTTATAAAATGCAAACAAATAAAAAGATAAAAGTGTGAGAAATACTCACTTTTATTAAATTACACTATAATTACCGGTAATTAAGTTATATCGATAAAAATATAACAATGTTATATAATATATATAATCTATATTTTTCCCGATAATGACATAATTTTTGTAAATTCAAAAATATGTTAGACATAAAAGAAATGTATTTTAAACTTGAATTGATTTGAAAACACTATAAAAGTTTGATATTAATAGCACGATGTGATGCATCTCACGAGTCAGTATTGAACCATAATTTTGAGCGACCCTTCCACATTCTTCTTCATGAATTTCAAGGCATCGATGGCTTCAGTGACCGGGAATTTATGGGTCACTAAAGGCTTCAAATTGACTTTTCCCGATGCAATCAATGAGATCGCCAATGGATAACTGAAACACATTTAAAGTACAATTTTATTAGAAAATGCATTTCAAAGATTAGTATTTTGTATATTGAATACTAACTCATCCCTAAACCTACAAACGCCTATTAAATCAATTTCTCTCATCGCTGTGTGAACTAACGGAACGGTACTCTTAAGGCCTCCCAAACCAACGATTCCCACTTTTCCACCGTTTTTGGTCGCATAGATAGCCATAGAAGTGCTCATATCATTACCGGTGGCCTCAATACTAATATCTGGATTACATCCCATATCTTTGATGATAGTCTGTGCCATTTCATAGTCGTTGAAAGTCTTGGGATCGATTACGTAAGACTTATCGACACCTAATTTGTCGGCTAATGCTAAACGACTTTTGTTCAGATCTGTTATAAACACTTTATTGGCGCCGAAAGCTTTGGCGCACAGGAAGGCCATCATTCCCATCGCACCGGCGCCACAGACCAACACATTCTGACCGGCGGTTA